GACTTTAAGTCTGGAGACTGTGCTGACCACTCCATGTTTTCAAGCTTACCATCTTGTTCTTTTTCCTGAGGTAGTTTTAGCATAGCTTGGACTTGTGTTTTGGGTCTTTATCTTGCTGTAGGATGAACCTCTGACCAACTAGGTGCATACCAGAGGGTATTGCATGGCGCTGCAGAATGCTGTGGTAGCCATTTTGGTTCAGGGTGCCTCTCACTCTGTACAAGTCACGGACCCTGGATCCAGCAAAACAGCCCCAGACCATCACACTCCCTCCTCCATGTTTCACAGTTGATGTCACACACTGTGGAACCATCCTCTCGCCTACCTGACGACGTACAAAGATCCTGTGTATTGAAGCGAAGATTTGAAATTTTGAGTCCTCAGTCCATAATACCTTCTTCCAGTCTTCAGTAGTCCAATGGCGGTGTTTCATGGCCCAGGAGAGCCTCTTTGTCTTATTCTGACGTCTTAGCAATGGCTTTCTTGCTGCAACTCGTCCTGTCAAACCTGCAGCTTGAAGTTTTCTCTTCACAGCTGGAACTGAGATTTGCTTACTACGACCACTATTAAGCTGTGCTTGAAGCTGTTGTCCTGTGAGCCACCTATCACGCAAGCTGATAACTCTCAGAAACTTGTTCTCTGATTCAGTTGTGGCTTTGGGTCTGCCAGACCGCTTCCTGTCAGAGTTTCCCCCAGTTCCTGAGTGCCTTTTGATGGTGAAGAAAACTGTACTCACTGACACCTTGACTTTCTTTGCAATTTCCCTGTAGGAAAGACCTCCATCTTTAAGTGTTATGATGGTCTGTCTCTCTTCCATTGTTAATTGCCTTTTTCTCGCCATTTTTGTAGCAACACACTACTTTCTGCAGTACAATACTGTTCAGCTGATGCTCATGAGGGTCTGGTACTACAGTGTGTTCCAGCACTGCTTTTATGGAGACAGAGGGGGTTGTATGTAATCAAGAAAAGTTGGAACACCTGTAGGAATTAGTAGCACCAGCTTTTAAGGCTGTTTCAACCTTCACTGCTGCAGAACAGCTTTAAATTGTTAACCCACTTCATGTTTCCTGGAAAAGGCCTTTTTGTATAATTCTGAAATGTACATTATTTTTCGGTTTTGTGTAACCAAACCTTTTTTTAAAAACCTCTGACTGTTCAGTGCTTACCTTTGTACCATTTCAGGCTATTCATTGGACTTGTACAACTTGAATTGCAATAAATAACTGGAAAAATTAGGGTGTTCTAAAACTTTTGACCGGTAGTGTATATATACTTTTTTTTTCTCAATCTGGCTAAAATAGCCTTCTACCACCTGGTTTTACTCCTTTACAAAAAGGAAAGCGAATTGTGTGACGAAACAAAGGGAGAAGTTGTCAGAGAAGTTCAAAGCCCCGCCAGTGCAGACACACATTTCCAAATGTGATTGTCATTTTAGGAAAGATACAAAAACTGTTGAATGCAGCTCTTCTATTTCTGCTATTAGAAGCAAAATTTCAGATTCTGCTAGATGATCCACCAAAGATTACATTCCATATCCTTAAGATATGAGTTAAATTACATTGTTTCATTAAGTGCTGTACTAAATGTTGCAGTTCATGTCATAAATAGAAAGCTCAGAGACAGGGACACAGATGGAGCTTGCATGACCTGTTTGAAGTATGGAAAGGGGTCGCTAAGTGTTTTATCTGGGTTACACAATGATTTGATTCTAATAGCCTTTCAGTGTTTTTTTTGGTTGTTTTTTTTTAAACAGAGATAAGAGGATTGGGAAGTGGTTCAAGCGGGCCAGTCGAAACAAACCCTGACACAGAAAACCTCATAAATGATCTTTGGCCAGCTATACTGTCATCAATCTTAATGTCTATGTCTTAATTATTTTTACACTCATGTATTCTAGTACAAAATCTTGAAGCCTTTTTGTACATACCAATGTATGACAAGTGTTGTCCATGGTCTAAGACTGGCCATGCTCCTCTGTACTGGTCGTCATTTAAATGTGGCAATCCATTAAAGGCAGAGTCCATTAGCTTTCAGAGGACTAATCTGTGAAAAATGCTCTATCAGTCTGCACTATCAGCAGGTCCTTCAGTACAGGAAGAGTGATGTCTCTTGGTTTTAAAATGGATCCTAAGGGCAAGAGAGAGAACAGACCGTGCCAAGTGATTCATGTCAAGTGGACACCCTTATCTATGAAAGATGGGTGGCTCTCTCTTACAATGGCTCCAGTGTTCTCAAGGCAGCCAAGCAGGACTAGTGAACATTCAGGCACAGAGGAGACCTATAGCAGGCTTCAGTTAGGGAGGGCAGATACTCTTACACTCGAGGACCTTTTGGAAAATTGACAAATAAAAGTTTCTAGAATTAAAAAAACAACTCAGGAGCAGAAGGTAGTCTAGGTGGGCAAGTGTAGCTAAGATCAGGCAGAGTGGCTTTAGGTTTCAGCAAGTCAAGTAGGGTAGGAGTTCAGGAGGAGCAGAGGTGGATCAGTCCACAGCAGAGCTCTTTATTCCAGGCAGCTCATCCCTTCTCGAGGCAGCCGACAGCCAGAGGCCACCATGACGGAGTGGACTTTGCTCAAACGTCTCCTGGACGCTGTTCACCAGCACTCCACCATGATCGGGCGTCTGTGGCTCACTGTCATGGTAATTTTCCGTCTGTTAATTGTTGCTGTGGCTACTGAAGACGTGTACACTGACGAGCAGGAAATGTTTGTATGCAACACACTGCAGCCAGGATGCTCCAACGTCTGCTATGATGCGTTTGCACCCATCTCACAACCTCGCTTCTGGGTCTTCCACATCATCAGCGTCTCTACACCATCGCTGTGTTTCATCATTTACACCTGGCACAACCTGTCCAAGCTGCCCCACAACACCACATTGAGACTAAGACAAGGACCTGGGGACATCGCAGGACAGGGAGACCCAGATGTAGGACCAGATGGTGGACAGGAGGCATATGACTGGAGCTGTGATGCAGACAGCTGCTCCATCCACTCCCATAAGCATCTCGGTCACAGCCTTGCAGATGTGCTTGATGGCATCACCTCTCAGAGCATCCAGAAGGGATACCCTAACAACATAGTGTCCTTGAGCCAGGTTCAAGCTTGCACCTATAGGGAGAGGACCGCAGAGGCTCACGTGGTCTCTGGAGGAGTTTTGTCCAAATGCTATGTCTTCCATGTGTGTTTACGAGCTATCCTGGAGGTGGGATTTGTCCTGGCCCAGTGGAAACTTTTTGGCTTCCAGGTGCCTGTTCATTTCCTTTGTACCTCAACCCCCTGCACCCAGTCAGTGGACTGCTACATCTCCAGACCCACTGAGAAAACCATCTTCCTGCTCTTCATGTTTTGTGTGGGAGTTTTCTGCATCCTGCTCAACCTGCTGGAGCTCAACCACCTGGGCTGGAAGAAGATCCATCAGGCAGTGAGGCTGAGGGAGAGGACATCCTGGGGAGGCTGTCCAGGGATGAGGGGAGTTTATGAATCATTCCCTGCAGACAGCCTGTCTCTCACAACTTTAGGCTTCAGAGAAGTGACTAGCACCACTTCTCTGCCAACTGTGAACCTGGTTGTGGGTCACCAGCCTGACTGGACCTGCGCGGTGAACTGTGGCAGGATAAAGGAGTCTGAGAAGGTCAAAGAGACAAGACTGGAGCAACCAAAGACAGAGGACTCCTATAAAGGACAGAGGCTTCCTTTAAAGAGTAAAAGGGAGATCAGAGTGTCCAAGCAGAGGAGTGCTGAGGTCTGGATATAGTGCAAAACTATGGAGACACGTATTACTGCCTTTATTTATCTTTACCCATGGATTCTTTACTGGAATTTAAAAAAGAAGAAGAAAGAAAACCTTAGTTATCTCCTCATCAGAGATACTCAGCTTGTTTTGCTCAGGAGCCACTTTTGCTGGAACAATCAAACAAACTAGTATTTATAACTAAAACAAAATAAATTTTTACTAGTAATGCACGATATTAAAATTTCAGGCTGATACCGGTATCCGATATTAAGATTTATGACAACGGCGATAACCAGTATTACCAATGTCAATATTCAATTTTTGTCACACCGAAAAATTAGTATAAGTAAGCACTGTGAGAAAACTATTGAAAAGAAGCCCATACCAAAATTAGACCACATAGTCTTCTTTAATCGATAACAAAAGTAAAACATATTTAAACATATTTAACGTTCAAGTCCAGGACCATTTAAGCAAAAACATCAGTGAAATAGCAGCAATATCACATGTAGATTTGTCTGATTGATCTCGACTAGAAGGAAACCTACATCAATGTTTTAAATGTGAGTCAGTGAGCATAGAGACAGGGTATAAATATTCCCTTTTGAGATCTTTGACTGATGAGAGGACTGATCATTTTTTCCAACCCACCTTTATACAAAACCATGTATATCACAATTAGAGAGAAGTTCAATAAATCATTTTTGTTCTTGTTTCCTACAGCAGCAATAACTTTGAGACCAATTAGATTAAAATTATTATAACCCCTTGTGGAGACCAATTTGGGAACCATTAACTTAAAGTGCCAAATGGCCAAAATTCCTTAGATGTTATATTAGATGTTGTATTTGAATTTGTCATTGCTAAATGCCACATATTTCGTTGCCATAGTAGCCTTCACTCTTCTTGCTTTTGTTATTTCCAGCAGATTTACATCCGGCAGAAATTTGCTCCTATTTAGACAAAAGAGCATAAGTTAAGTGTAACAGTGACGCTGGGTATAGCGGTGAGGAGGTCTGTCTCAGAGGGGGGTATTGTCAAGGTGAAGGAAAGGAACAAATAGAGAGTCACACAAAATCAGAGGCACACTATTGACTAGACACAACTGTGTGCTGTAACATTAAGCTTTCCTGTAACTGGAACCAAGGGGCCTAAAAACACTCACATGACCAAAGTACACAAAAGCAGGTGGACAGCAATGTCTATGTATATTTTGACAAATAGATTACAGATCAAGATGCATACAAAGAAAACACACGTGAATTTTGATTAAATATTTGCTTGTTTTTTTTTATTTACGCAATATATTTATTCATATATTCATTTACAACATGTCTATAAAACACCTTTTGCATAAATTATGCTACTGTAAAAATAAAACACAGAACAGCACAACCACTTTCCTTTGTCTAGAAGTAGGCTGTAAAATGAATACTGAAGAGAAACTGCAAAGGCAAACAGAGGTACATTGTTGAGAGAGCGCTCCTAATTTAGTGTATCAAAGAATCAGTCGTTCATACTGTGGGGCGAACTGATCATAATGATGATAATAACAATAATAATAATAAGAATAATTTGAAATAGGCTTATCTTGTGTTCAGTCTACAAAACCAGTCACATTGGAAATAGTTGATATAACAACATATAGTTGTTTTGGTATATTAATATGTGGTTAAATCAAATATTCTGAAAAAAAATAAAATCTTCCCCTGTTGTTGTCTGGAGACTTAATGCAGGAATAAACCTTCTCAAGGACATTCTTTTCTGTAAGGTTCTGTGACTATACTGCAGATAGCACAAAGTGCTACGTGCTCCCCAGTATCCAGAAAATTCATGATCACAATCTTTATTTAAAAAACAAATCATCATGTAACATCTTGAACATCTACGAAGTTGCAAGCTAACAGTAAGTATCAAATATATTTTCTTCACTGTCTTTCTATTGTACATAAAGAAAACTCAGTATACATATGGTCAAAAATGAATAAATAACATAAATTAGGAATAGAGTACATACTGAGACAAACATCCAAACCTAACTTTAGGTCTGGAGCTATGTCTATTCACATTATTAGTAAGTCTTTAAGAATAAAACTATAGCAAGCAAATGCACATAAGTCTGGAGGGAAAAGCTGTTTGTGAAATGAGAATCATTAAGTCGTGTAAATTCTTAACAGTTGTCTAATATCTGGGTCTGATCACTAAAAAAAAGGCAGCAGAACATTAAGATGGGGTCATGTGGTTTATTCAATCATGCCAAACTCCCCACTTTGCAATGAAAATTTTTTTTTTCTTGTCTTCTCATTTCAGTAAAAAAAAAAAACAACAACAACAAACAAATAAAAAAACAATATCCTCAACACAGAAACACAGGATGGAACAATCTTATTGGTTTACATTGTGGCAAATGTGGTCATTGTTTCAGTTTTGTTCCTGAGAAATCATGTTTTGTCCATCACTTTGGTATGGTGGACAGCTGTAAATACAACAGTACCCATTACCTCAATTGCTGTTGCTACTGAAAGGGAAGGAAGTGAGGGTGTGAATCAGAGCGGTAGCAAATTTTAAAAAACGCTTTCCAGTTGGTAACCAAACACATTATAGATCTGAACTGATCCAAATTGACCCAGAATCTGTCTCAGAACCAGTCTAAAGTAAAAACCTTAGTTTCTGTCCACCACCTGTAGTGAACCTCTGTGAATTCATGTTTCTTGCTGAAATGTTGACATATTAATCTTTCTTTTGTATGTAAACTTATGCAAACACATTTTCAAACAGATGACACAGTTCTTAGTCTCCAGTCATGTCTGTTGACGTGTTTGAAATCGTAAACTGAAGCAATTCAATTACTCACCAAAACGCACTGAATTTATCCTGTAGCCATGTCAAATATTTTTCATTTGCATTTACTTGTCAGCAATCAACGTAGTAAAATGGCTCCATGGCACTGCTAAGAGGCAAAACTTCTAATAAAAAAACATCTGTATTTCTATTAGAAGAGAGAAACTTGAACAGTAGAGCTGTGAGTGTGGCACGACTTTGCTGTTGTTTAAGATAATCCTAAATGCATCTCGACAATTGCTCCATGTGAAGAAAGTGGAGTTTGCAACAGACAGTGAAAACTGCAGCAGATGAGGCAACAGAGAGGTTTCTGACTAAAACATAATAAAATCCATTCATAAAACAGGTGACATTAGAAACAAAAATGTAAATAAAAGCCAGTGGTCGTGGTTTTCAACTGAGGTAAATAGACCTTAGCTTCTCTCTTTGCTTCTCACAATTTAGTTTAATTCCTCATTTTTTTACATCTTCTTATCTGATGACATTTAATTGACTCTGAAGGGATGGCTGCTAGTTATTGTGCTACTATTTAAATTAAAAGGTTCATCAGCATTGCACACATTTGCAAGCTTTCACTTATTCTGCTGCTTTTGAATAGCTAATAGGAGAGCTGTACGAGTTTCACAAGATCACAGAATAGTCCACGTCTACAGACTCACTGTACTTTGAATTTAAGATGTGATACAACCATGTTTTTTGATCTGCATTACAATAATTGAGATAATGGATTCATTATAGTACAGTACAAACAAGATATGTGGTTGTATAAATTTGGTATCTACCATTTTGACCTCACAAATGTATTTGATATGATAGTGACTTTAATCCTGTTGTGAATAACACAGAGTGCAATGCTAAAGAAGAGGGAAAGCAAAACAGTGACAGAAAAAAGGTGCATACCCATAAATGTATGTGGGAGGTACATTCTCAAATCGTCAGTGCAATATGGACAAAATTAAAACATCACTTTCACATGGTTGCAGTGTGACAAGGCATCCATCCAGATTGTTATACAACATCACAATAGGTTAGAGCATGTAAACAGAGAGAGGGACATTCAGAGCAGTAGAGTTGACTTCAGTTCCTCACAGTTGTAAAAATGAGGCCACAGCAGGCAAACAGGCGACATTTAGAATGAAAGAAAGACATCAACAGAAAAGTACTGAGCTACAACACAAGATTGGCATCAGAGTCACATACATCCACTATGGTCCCAGTGGAATGTTAGGCTTTCACGCACTGGTGACATTAAGTGCCCAAGAACTGTTGCTGAAATGTTTACAAAATAATAAAACATATCTAAAAAAAACAACAAAGGAATGTTTCTGTGAAAACTTTTGCTGAGCAACACTTACAATTATTTAGAGTCATACACCTGGTTATCAGATCCATTTAGCACTGTTTTGATCTCCATCATGCCCTAAAAACACTAATAAAACTGGTACAGTTGTCTGACTGCTGGTGTTTCTTTACCCATCTAACGTCTTTAAAACAATGTCACCGTGTTCCTCATCTTAGTACAATGTTATAATTATGGACAGAAATGATGGTCAAACTAAGTTAAAATAAACTGGGCTTGATTTGAACTTTGGCATCACAGATGCTGAGAATCAAGGCTTGTATTTGGACAATGATACAGAACATGAAATGTTTTTAAAATATTAAAAGCAACACAACATAAAATTGCACTTGTTTTAAATAGACAAGCTGGCAATAATCTTGCTGATTCTCTCTCTTTTTAAAAAAAAAAAAAAAGGTTAGTTCTCTCAAATTAAAAATAAGTCCCATTCTTACAGAGCTGTGAAATTTGTTTTGTCAGTTTGATACTCCAAGCAGCAGAAGTGGCATTCCATTCACCTCCATTATATTTGGGTAACGGAAAAGTCCTCACAGACTAATAGCTCAAAATTTAAACTTAAATTTGGGTGAATCAACCCTTTAAACATCAATCACTCATTTAACCTGTTAGTGAGCTAGCATGTGGTCAGCGCAGTAAAAAAAAAGGTCAATGACATTTCAAGATAAAATTTTAGGGAAATTCTGATACAATTAGCCAAATACCTTGAAATGTTTTGAATGTGCCTATAATGCAAACAGTGTGACAATAATTGAATGAAATAACTGTATAGTCTCACATAGCAGTCATCATTATCTGGTGGTGCACTTAAAGCAATGTTAAGGAGCCTCAGTGTGGGTGAGGTTTTGGGAGGGAAAAGACAGACAGCTCAAAGAGATAAACTTATAAGGATACACTGGAAGCAACCTAATGTGATGGACTGACAAGATGGAACACAGAGTTTGACGACTGCTTGACATTTTCACCTTGGTCAGACCCAAAGGACACTGGTGGTCCGACTAGGCAGAGTGTCCCAGTTAATGGCTTGGGCTTCTGTTGGCTTTAGATTCATAAATGTCAATAGGAAAAACAATGTACTCAGCGACATCTGATCTTAAGTCAGCTTGGAACAACAAGAACACGAAAGTTATTTTCAGCTACAGGCTGATCAGGATCTGTGCATTTTTACATCCCAGTTGAGCTGAGTACAGAGGCCAAGTGTGATGAGGCAGGACGGAGTCTGAGGAGCGCTCGAGGTGCTGGTCTTCATTGAGGCAGGGGAACAATGACCTTCACGTAGTTGATAGGAAAGAAGCCAGACTCACCGTTGATCATGCCCTCATACCAGTTTTCATCTATTTGGTTGGTAAGGATGATAATATCGCCCTCCTTGAAGCCCAGCTCTCCCTCGTTTTCTGGCTCAAAGTCATAGAGGGAGCGACAGCATGGCTGGTCCAACACCTCAGACTCTGCAGTTAAACACAGAAAGAGTGAGTAATTGTTTAATTGACAAATTTCTAAAGAGTTATGGCTTTTTTTCCGACCTGATCTGTTACTGTAGTGTATGGAAAACAAGGCTGCAACTCCGTGAAATATTGAGGAATCTCTAAATTAATGTCGTTATTAAATGCTTGATCACAAAAATGTGTTTAAAGAGCCAAATATTGCTTTGGTTCCTACAAAAAAAGCTAATTGTAGCTGCTAATGAGGACAGTGGGATGTGGTTGTATGTCCATGGTGCTAAGAGAAAGTTTAGTGAATGAAGTTTGCTCATTTGTCAATATTCAGCACTAATATTGAGCCACCTCCATGACAGCTGAGCAAATGCCATCTGCCAGTGCAGACTTTGAGATTGAATTAAAAGCTCGAGGAAATGGTGTTTTCATGATGATAAGTTTAGGTGGAGTCAATCTACATTTTACAACCTCCCAATTGAATTTCAAACTCATTTTAAATTGCATATTTGATCTAACTGACGGTTCAAAACCCAGCGACTCCCAGTTGATGAGTTGAAATCAGTTGTGTTTTTGCCAGATAGTGGCAAGACTGATTAAGAATCCAACTTGTCATTAGTTAATGTTATCAATAAATCTAAAGGACTGTTGTACTAAGATGTGAATGTTCAGTTTGTGTTACTCACGGTGAATATTGCCATTGGCAGTGGGGCTCTCAGGCCATGACATTGGGACAGAGGTTATATGATCAGCTGAGTGAGATGCAAACACAATTGGAGATGGTGTTGAGCAGAAGACAAAACAATGCACACAATGAGTATATGATAAAAGAATCAGCCTAAAGGTGTCCTTGGAATCTGCAGTGGAACAGTCAATACTGCATGCACGCAAGTAGAGTCAGGCTGCACCCAGTAAAGGGTGCCAACATGTTTTACAGAGGGTCATCAACATTGGCCAAAAAATGTATTGGCTGCCCTCTTCCCTCACTCTAACATTCCAACAAAGTGCCTCCAGTGACACAGCTTACATCATATTAACAGTTCTTAAGCCAGGATTGAGTGCAAAGGGGACAAATGGGCCCATCAATATTGTCTAAATCTTAAAAATTGTACACAGGAAACATAATGAGAGCTACAAGTAATTGTCAATCGTATAATTTTAATTGTCTTTGAAGAAATAACAACTTTTAAATTTCAAAATCAAACCAAAACTGTGGTAACATATTATAGGTTTCCACAAATGTGCACACTGAAATCTTGACCTAAAGAATGATTATAGCACGAGTTTGCTGTAAGCTCACTAACTGGTTATGATCATTTAAAAGCATACAAGCACCTCACATAGCAACACAGAAAGGGTTGGTTAGGATACTGGAGGATGGGGAACAGGAGAAATTACTACTTTCAGTACTCAATAACTGAAATACTCTTAATCAATGTCCTACAAAATCTGCATTTGGTGATAGAATGGCAACACAGTCACTTCATTTTAATGTGATTCCGCAACATTACCATACATCTGGATATGAGACATATTAATGCAAAGTGGAGGGGGACCAAACTACCAAAAGAATGACAGCCTTAAACCTAAACATTGTATAAATGAATACTTACTTTTCCCATTGAATGTGTTTGTGATCTGGATATCTGGACAACAGAAAAACAGAAAAAAAAAAACACTCGAATTCAAACCAAACAATGGATGACTGATGGAGTTGATGGATAAAGTCACATACAAGAAAAAACAAAAGCAGTGATTTAATAAAGACAAATATGAGACAGTTGTACCGGTGGATTTGAGTGAGGGGCTGTAGGACAGCCCATTGTTCTGGCTGTTGTCCAGCATTTCTATGCTTCTCCGGATGGACTTTGGTTTGAACTCTCTCTTTGACCGGGTGTTGGCTGTGGATATCCTATGATGAGTACAGAGTCAAGCAAAAACTATAATCCAGTTGTTCATAAAATCACGACTGTTTCACTTGTATTTCAATTATGTTTTGGACAGTGTGAATTGAGGGTTCTCCAGTGGTTCATGGTGGTTAAGAAATTCTTAAAAAAAAAAAAAAATTATAATAATCTGGACTTTACTCCATTTAGACATCCCTTTCTCAAAATCAAAGTGTTACTACAGGGAACTATGCAGTATTTCTTTTATTCCTTACAATGTAAAAGTTCCACAGTCTTGAACAACTGCTACAAAGCAACTGCCCTACACACATTAATAAAGTTTTTCTGATTCTAAACAACCACCAATGGATACTTAGATTGTCCTACAGACAATGAATGCTGTAAAGTAATTACTGACAAGAAAGTCGAGTGTTGCCTCAACTACAGCAGAGCAACTTCCTTACCTCCTCTGCAGCTTTCCGCTGAGCTCCTCCAGGATTTCACTTGACTGCCGGTGGTACTCTAAAGCTGCCTCGATCAGTGCTGAGAGCTGGCTCACTTGCTCCACCTGTTGGCCACACCACAGATGTGTGAACACACAGGTTGTCACAAACACATACATTGATTTTCCCCATGCAAAGTGACTGAACTACTTTGAAATCAGCAGAAAACATTCAAGGGAACATATTATGCTCATTTCAAGTTTATAGTTTTCATTCTGAGTCATCCACTAGAATGAAACAGTGGTTTGCACTTTCACAGGAATAACTTTTGACATATGTTACCTCATTACTTGAAACTCTGACCATGTTTAATATGAACACCTGACACTGTGAAATAATATGTTGTACTAAAATGGTCGCATATACAACCATTTTCTTGAGGGTGTGCAAGTTAAAATTTCATGTGGTCGCGTTTGTGTGAGTGTATTGTGGCGATCTGGGTGGTAGAATGACGTAGGGCGAAAGCTTTTGTCTTTTATGCACACTTCTCCGAGAACATGCTTTTACTTGATCGCAGGAAAAACACAACAGAGACACAGTGGCCTGAAGACATCAAACATGCTACACTTCTCATTGACGGTACTGACAACATAACAAAACCACAACAAGCGCAAAAGCTCAATAGAGCACTAACAACATTGTTACCATAATAATAACCACAATAACATTTATAACCCCAACACCCTGAACTCCCTTGGTGCATTGGAGCACAACAGATTAGTCCTAGTGACGGGCTCCGCAATCACGACATAGCCCCCACCTGAGGGGTCAGTTGTCCTCGGCAACCCCATCACTCAACACAAAGTCCCTCAAGTGTTCAGGCTGCCGCCGCTGGTGAACAGACTGTTCAAGACTGGTAAGAGCTGTGCCAGGTGGAAAGTCGCATTGGTTGGGGCATGGGGTGCTGCCATTACCCCCCTCACCAGCGGCAGGTGGGGCGAGGGGGCGGTACGTGTCTGTCCTGGTGCAGCACCGGCATCTGCACTTCATACAAGAAGCCCGCCACTTTGCTGGGCTCCTACCTGTTCTGTGAAGCTTGAAGGAAATCCCATTTTTGCAAGCAGGACAGTACACCCACACCTTTTCTTCTGGCATGACGGCCCGCCTTTTGCAACAGGTGTCATAGGCCCTCTTCTACCGGACACCTGAGTTAGCTTGGGCCTGGCGAGTGTAGTCATGCACCACATGCAGCTGCTCCCTCAGTCTGTGAAAGTAGTTCATCTCTTTCCCCCCCCAGTGATCCCCAGTTCTAGTGGGGCACTGAACACCAAGTCCATTGGTGTCCGGAGCTCTCTCCCAAACATGAGAGCAGCAGGCATGCACTGGCTGGACTCCTAAACAGCAGACCGATAAGACCACTAGTCCATCACTTTGCAGGTGGAGTGGAGTTGTCCTTGTTTTACTCACCCCCAATTGTCTTTGGTGCAAAGTTGCTTCTTGACACAGGTATGTCCCAAGTGGCACCATCTCTCATTCACAAATGAAGCAAAATTCCCCCTTCCTTCTTCTTACCACTCCCCGTAGCGTTTCTGTCCGCCAGTAGGAGCTGAAAGTCATCCAGGGTAACGTGAGAGTCAGGAGAAAGTTCTTTCTTTCTTTTCTCCGTGAAACACAAGACTGCATTGCCGGTAGTCCCTCTGCAGTCGGGTTTTCGTCCATAGCTCTTCCATCTTGTTGGGGAGAGAGCTTACGTTCCCCATAACGATGGACGGTACACATAGTTTATACTGTGTCTTCTGCAGTCTTTGCTTCACTCCAGCTCTGCAGCCTCTCCTTCTTCGTTGTATCAAATTGTTGTATCTATCAATAAGCATGTTCAGCAAGTATGTCACTCATAAACTGTGCCCAGTTTACAAATGATATCAGAAGAGAACTGTTGACAAAATGTGTGTGTGTATGTGTATATATATGTATATGTGTGTGTGTGTGTGTGTGTGTGTGTGTGTGTGTGTGTGTGTGTGTGTGTGTGTGTGTGTATGTATTTACAAATATCACAACGCGCATCACTGAAAAACAATGCTGCATAACTAGGTTATTCAAAAAAAACTATTCATCAGCATGCTTGGTGGATTAATAGTAATAGCAATGCTGGATCAAAAAAGGGAGTGGGGATGGGGCAATCAAACTGACTTCTGGTGCAACTAACCAAGAAAGTTGGTCGCACCAGTGCTACCCGTGGAAAAGTTAGTCTGGAGCTCTCGTTAGAGAGGAAAAAAGTGTAGTATCTCACTTTTAATACAGAACTCTACAAATGTAGCAATATGTGAAAGCTTTTCTTCTGGTTGCACCAGAGTTAACACGAAAGAGTGTGTTATGCTGGCATAGCATCAGGTAATCAGGGCCTGTATTAACAAACTGCACCTCCTTGGAAAGAGTGAGATGTTGCTGACAGCAAAGCCAATTTTCTGTGTAGGTTTCAAGTGTATAGCTGAATATCATATATTATTAAGTTTTATATGCAAAAAACCTAATGCAGAAAGGAGCAACTATCTTAAATCTCATTAGGACATATGGACTATTTGCTATAGACTGTTAAGTAAACACTAGGAAAGACACTTTCGTTACAGTAACAATGAATGTGTGTATAAAATTTAAGTATACCAAGTAGTAGATAATCTGGTTTACCTGTGTAACTACATTCAGCTATCCAGTCACATTATTTCACACATTGTTTACATTGCCTGTATTAGCACATCCTGCATGCATTGTGCTCTACTACGCACATTTTACAGCTGCACTGAGCATTAACTTCTGTGGCCTTACAGGTGGAGAAAATTCATTATTTCTGTAATGTCACTTAATTTTATAAACATATCTTTATATACAGCTTTCTTGGGTTCAATAAGCCCTGGTAATCCATTATCCTCTCTTACATCATTCTCCAGGAAGTTGAACATGCTCCTCTCAGCCAGCTCTTTGCTTTCATCAAACTTCTCCACGGCCTGACGAATCTCCTCATCTGGGATTTTCCCTTGACGCTTCTTCTTATAGTCGAAGTCTAATCTGCGGCCCTCCAGCTTCTTCAGGTGGTGCTGCAAACAAAAACAGCAACATATCAATAGTGTGTAGCATGCAAGGAAATACAGATCATGTTTAATTTTGTGATTGTAAAATGTGATTTTTTACATATTCTGAAACCTTATCTTAAAAACTGTTTACTCATTCTTTTTGATCAAATGTATGATTGTTGTGTACAAGTTTGATTACATGAAATGGAGCATCGCTGTTTGTCTATTGTCTACACGTCTGAAATTGACACTAATTATAACTATAAGAGAATATACATAGAATGTTTATTATTATTGTTGTAATAATAGGTGAATCAAATTAACTGATGATGCACCCTTACACCTATTAGATATCATACAGTGTTGCAAAAATCTCTCACACATTTCCCCTGTGTTGTGAATGCTGTCAATCTTCATTGAACTTGCAAAGTTTTAAGCTAAAGACCAAAATCCACAGTCTCTCATAGTTTGTCTACCCTGTATCTGTCATAAAACTATAAATGCATGGACCATTTGTGTTTCACCTTGTGTAAGTTTCATTGCAGGGTAAAGATGACAGTAATGTACCGTGATCTCCTTGAGGTCCTTGTCCTGTAGATTCTGTAGGGGGTCAATATAGTTCTGTTTGACATTTATGTCCAGGGAGTCCTTCACATCTGCCATCTGCCTCATGGCCTCACCCATATCCACCAGAGCAGAGCCTGTAGAGATAAACCACACATTTTCAGTAAACTTTTCAACTGTATACAAACAGAAATCAACAGAAGACATCATCCATTATGTATACACTGTTTTATCCTCTGTAGGGTCACGGGGGGTGGGGCTGACTTAGGGTGAAGGCAGGGTACAACCTAGACAGGTGGCAAGTCTATCGCAGGGCAACACAGAGAGACAGACAACCAAGCACACTCACATTCACACCTACGGACAATGAGGAATCACCAATTAACCTCAGCATGTCTTTGGACTGTGGGAGGAAGCCGGAGCACCTGGTGAGAACCCACAAAGGCACAGGAAGTACAAACTCCACACAGAAAGACCCCAGGCTGAGATCCGAACCCAGGATGTTCTAGCTATGAGGCAACAGTGCTAACAGCCACTCACCATGCCGCCTTCAACTGAAGACTTGCAATGTGTATATGACAATGTCTAAAATTATAATTTCAAATAAATTGGTTTATAATAGAAATATCTAATTCTTTATTCACAATGATTAGAGCTAAAATTTTCACTTGTTACGTTTCAGAACTTTGAGATCTGCTGTCACACATTTTACTATGCAGACAACCAAAACTTTTGTCAATACTGGACTTAATAAGTATCATTTAGCAGCAATGGGGGACTTTAAAAAGAACTTCTACACATCTCTTAGGCGTTTCTCTAACAGTCCAAAGACACGCAGAGGTTAATTGGTGACTCTAAATTTCCCATAGGTGTGAATGTGAGTGTGCTTGTCTATGTGACCAGCGATAGACTGGCAACCTGTCTAGACTGTACCCTGCCTTCACCCTAAGTCAGCTGGGATAGGATTCAGCCCACCCACAACCCTACAGAGGATGAAGTGGTGGAAAGATCATGGATGGATGGATAAATATAAAGGCCAATGTTATTATACTGTGTTTGTGTTTGCTGTTGGACCCAAATAATCCATTAGCACATCCCCAATTTAAAAGATAAAAACCAAACACAATTATAATCATTTACAGCTGTGACCTATCATTGCATTATTAATATATTAGTTATTGCAGCTGTCTGTGGGGCCTCTATCAGCTGCTGCTTCATCACCACATTCCAAATGATAAAAGGGTCCTCTTTTATATACTATTTATAATGTTTATCCAGCTAGATTATTTTTTAATGTTTTATCCACAACTATACATCAGTGTGTTCATAGTGCTCTCTCCATAGTTATTTGTGTTTATACTGTAACATACTGTATGAACAATACTGTAAATATGCACTTCACTGCTGCATTTGCACTGCTAGTTAGGCGCGACACTGCATTTTGACATCTTAGTACTTGTACTCTGTGTATTGACAATAAAGCTGATCAAATTTAGCCTAATATGATTCCCACACTCGCTAGCTGTCAGTTGTGAAGTGTTTCATTGTGCTGCTGCAATGCCAAAAATGTTTCCAGGGTGCATCAGGTCAGATGACAACGTCTGAGACAACTGACTTACCTTTTTACAGCCTATGTTTTTGAGTTGTTTTTGTGCAAAATTGCATTAGTGAACACATGGCCAGACTGCAAGGGCCAAGAGGCACATGGAAACACTGGCGACACCCAACGTACCCTATACCTCTCCACAAACTGCATGTATGCTGCATTTTAGAGTAAAAGACAGTGGTATTTTTTTTGCAAGATGTTGAGTACATGGTTTCATCAGGCATGGACATGTTGAAAGATACTTTACAATTATTGAAAGGTGAGCTATGGTGTATACTTGCCCATGTGGTTCACACAGTTTGCAGCCATGCACTTTTTACCGTTCATGTTGACCTGGTACACCACCTCCTAACTTGTTTATTATAAGGACTATTCATAAATGCTGTATCTTTACACACTTGTGAATACTTTTCTATTAGACCTTATATAGAGAAAAAAAAATCTCATAATATGAAATTGAATGTAAATATTTTGATATGTACAATGTTTTACATTTACATACATGTATCTCATCATAAAATGTTGGCAGGTAAGATATCTTTTCATAATTGTGGAGAGCACAATTTAGTTATGAAAAAAAAATCTTATCGATTCATTTAAATAAATATCATTGTTTCATTCACTGAATGGGCACATACAGTAGCCTATCCAAACAAGGAACCCCAGTTGCCACTTTGCCTGTGGTCCCCCAGAGTCTAGGATCGCCACTGCCTACTTACGCACAGGTGCTTGGGCTTATTTTTTCATCACAACTTTTGAAAAACTGTAATGAAAAATAATTCCATTATCTTCTGTTTACTTGGGTTTTTTTTTTGTTTGTTTTTTTTTTTAATACAAACGGGGATGTAATGTCTTCCCTACATTGGAGACAATGCAAACATTGGCTGTAATTTCTGTTGTAATTTCAAAACCTGAATATTCGTCAATGCTTTGTTGCACAAAGAAACAACATAGTATCAATGGGAAGGATGATGGAGTTGTTTGAAAACTGCAATTGTGTTTGTGTAAATTAATAAATGAATTATGGTGACTGAAAAACTGGCTAAAACAAGCCAGCGGGCAGTAAAACTGTTTGTGGAAAATGTGCTGCTACTCCACGGATAAATAACAGTTAATTATATCAGAATTAAATTCAAACGAGGAGGAGACGTGAGTTTACGGTGAATAAGAGTCAAGGCTGCCTCTTTCCTACGACCTGTCAATCATTCCAGAGCCGACTGTCAATCAAGTAACCCTCCCCCCCACATGATCACATGGTCGATGCTCCTTGATGTACAAATATGTAAATCATGCACTCATTGTCCCTCCCCTCAGACTCATCCCCTCCATGCCAACAGAGAGACAGAAAGTTGTCATTGGTCACTGACTACAGAACTTTAAAGGTTGAAAAAAAAAAAAAATTATCATTGCCAAAAAAAAATTGTCATTGAAAGCAGACATGAAGAAAAAATGTGAAGATTGTTTCAATGACAAATCCTATTTTCAATGACAATACTGTGCCTGTTTTATCTCCATACCAGGTGAGAACCCACGCTGCACAGGGAGAACATACAAACTCCACACAAAAAGATCCCGGGTTGGGACATTAACCGTGGATCCTCCAGCTGTGAAGTGATTTCGCTAATGACTGAGTCAGAGTTTATCAGCTAAAGTAAAAATTTTGTTAGATCGCGACTGTCCTGTTCAGTCCTGAGCTTTCAGTTTCACTGTTTTAAAAATTCAGAAATAAACTGGGCTGTTAGTTTGGACTAGTTCATCATTATGTAATATACATGGTTCACTGTCACTTGGTACATCACTTGGTTGTCTTGTTATTGTTCAGTATAGCATACTTGTTTTCTACTCCTCTTCTATATGCACAACCTATTAATAATCTGTGAATGCCTCTCTGGTTCTATTTGAGTATTGATAAAATATGAGAGTTGGTACCAAACACAGACTCCTGTCCCAGTTCATGGCCAAAGCGCAGCATGCAGTCTCCCAGAAGGCCTTCAGTCTGAGGGTAGCCAGTGGTCTTCACCTGCCCGCGGATCTTAGACATTGTGTTCAGCATGTTCAGTTTGGCTCGAGAGGCTACAGAGGACAACAAAAAATATACCATACACTGGGTTCAACTTGTTTGATGTTGTGACAGATAAAACAGCATGCAATCCTTAATTAAAATTGGTTTAAACTTTTTCTTACCTGGGTTAGGCTGGAGGTATTCTGTTGTTTTGGACAAGAGGTCAAACACTAACTTGTTGGTCACCTCAATTTTCTGATGGGAGGAAGACAAAAGGATTGCAGTTACATGTCATTATCTTTTCATTCTACATACAGAGGAGCTTGTGAACTCATGGTTAAATATTATAACATTCTGAACAAAAATTGAATTAAGTTATGACTGAAAAGTCCAGCTTTACCTATTTAACTGTTTAATGTCAGACAAGATAAACCTTCAGTGTGGAAGTTGTCAGTGGATACACTTTGTTGTTTACAGTCATAACTCCATTGAGACACTTCATAGAACAATTACAAAGTGATCACATGTGGGTTTGAAAAAAAATGACTATGATAGCATATGCATAAAATATGCAATTATTTTCAAATATATTTAAAAGTCTAAATTATAAAAGTCCATCTTGCTATTTATTATTTAGTTACTTAGTTCTCACTTCTTATTATTTCATACTTTTTTCTGAGTAATCAATCAAATTGTTTGGGTATAAATTTAATAATTTGCTTTCTCTTTCATTTTAAGTGGATCAATTGGAATTTTCAACAAAAATGTCCAATCCTGTGGTAGCACATTACAGTCATCAGAATTTCAAGCATAATGTGCAAAAAGTAGTCATAAGTCTCTTTGTCCTCTGCATCATTGCCTGGAGATAAACAGAATTGAATGTTTTGCTAACTGACGTTATATAGAATAGAATAGAATAGAATAGAATAGAATAGAATAGAATAGAATATCTTGTTAAATATTGTTATAATAATTGTTAAATATATTGAATATCTCAATAGTGGTGGTAAAATGATCAGCCTCAGAAAGACTAACTAAAAAACTCTGAAGAGACAATAAAAATAAGGAAAAAAAACTATCGGCTGTCAAGTGTTGTTAACCGTTGCTGCTTCAGCGTCCAGAACGAGGTTAACTCTCTTTACTTTACAGCAGTCAGAAGGCAAAAACACTCAGCTTATGCCTATGCTAAGCCTGCTCTCATCATTTTCACCGCAACGAGAACAGACAGACGCTCACTCACTTGCTCACACCAGTCAAGCAACCTGCACACAGCATCTCATCTCTTTAAAGGGGCCACACACTCCTATAACAGTGTGATGCAATCAGACTCTAATAGCTCTCATGTTGCTTATACACAATGTAAATGTACACAATTTAAAAAGAAACAACTGTACCTGTAATGATGCGAGCAACATTGCATTAGTGCTTCAAACAAACAATGGATATACCATATTATAATCAGCTTTGTATTGCTTTCAGTAAATCAACCTTTGCAATAAGAGTTCATTTTCAAGTTTGAAGCAGCAGCATGATTTTCTACAAATCCATGTGAAAAGATTAGAGACGAGAGTCACTTTTGCTCTGACTTCACTATTTCTGAGCTGAGTTTCCTCTTGTTATCACCTAAGAGTTAGTTAAGTTACCGACTGTCCAGCTTTAAACAGAGACAAGCCTGGGATGATGGGACATCCTTAAGCTCAAACCCTGTCAGCATGTTAACAGAATTTACAAGACAGCACACCTGATTGGCGAAGTGTCTCTGTTTTTTGTTTTTGTTTTGTTTTTTTTGAAAATCACGCCAAGCTGATGTACGCCGTTCGTACATCATCATGAGCGTGAGGCAAGTGTAACTTACTTTGGCAGTGCGTTCCATTCTCTTTCTAAGTGGTGAGTGCATGCCACGTACACAGATGGCAAGACAAATTCAAGAAGTGAGTACAATTTCCACGGCAATCGCACATTGCAATTAGCGTCTATGCATGAATGGACATACTATGTAGGCCCTGATGGAGCCCTTGCAACCTTTCCTCTACCTCTACGATCTCTACGACCTCCACGGCACCAAAAATTCGCAGAGGACATACAATCCCAAAAGTCGTGCAACAGGTTGTGAGACCTATGCTGAACTTACCCTCTCCATCTCGATGAAGTCTTCATCGAGCTTTGTCCCCTCTGCTCCACTGATCTTTTCACTGAGTAGCTGCAGAGAGAGAACACCAAAAGAATTATGGAGGACTGAAAACTACCAACAGAAAACATGGAAAAAGAAGAATATAATCTTAACCTAAAGCTCCTGTCTAGTGCTGTGTTCACACCAGATGTGAATTCATTGTGCTATTCACACATGTATGCACCGAATTCACTCGCTTCATTCGCGTGACTAATTCGTGCCATTTGCATGTTTAACACGAGATTCGCGTCTGGATTCGCGTCATTCACCGTGTCTGGGTTCATCAGATCCTCCAGAGACACCCACAGCTCAGGGAATTCCACCACCTTCTCCAGGAGCTGTGCCTGGATGACGGCCGTTTCCAGCGCTATTTTCGGCTGACCCGGACCCAGTTTGACGAGCTGTTGGAGGAGATCGGTACCAGGATATCCCTCCAGGATACCAACTACAGGCACTCTATCCGAGCAAATATTTTTTCTGTGCCACATACAACAATAACATGGATGAGCAGCCGCCAGCAGGAGTATGTTGACCACAGCAACGAAGAGCCAGCAGAGGTTGATCCCACTAGCACTGCGATAGGTAGCACCTCGGCTTGCTAGCTTGCTAAGTTGAAGAGGTGGCATTTTTGTGTGTGGACTGGAGGAGAGGGACAGCCAGTCTGCTGAGCACTGAGATCTGCCTTGGCTCGAAATGTGGCTACTTATCTTGTGGGGTGAGTAAATCAATCAGTATTCATGATGTAGTTGCAAAAAACTGAATGAATCAGATTTTTCAACTTGTGCGTCTAACACGAATTTGCGTCATTTGTGCGTTTAACGCAACGAGAATCATGTCATTTGTGCAAATAACTTGCTCAATTTGCATCGTTTGCGCCAGGCTAATCACGTGATTCACATCGCAAGACGTTTAATCGCGTCTAATCGCGTCTTCACATTGACTTTAAATGTAAATAATCTGGTGTGAACACAGCATAAGAGTCTTGTTTTGGCAACAGTAATTAAAAAAAAAAAAGCTTTAACAAACTGGGTGTTTTTTTCCACTTATTGTCGTTACTCATATTTTCCATTTCTTCATGTTTACTATAACAGCCTAAAGATTCTTCAAGATCTCGAAGTAGAGGGCAAGGACATAAAATTAGTCAGAAATTCATACTGAAATCAGGAAGTTGCTGTTCAACCCAGGAATGTGTTGTCAGCATGAAATCATATTCTGCGAGAATTGAGACAAGGTTGTGTACAATCACCTGACTTCTGGTAAAATTATGCTTTGTGTGATAGCTGACATTATTGGTTTTAAAGTTGGCGGTGTCAACTTCAACAATCTCCGTTATGCAGATGATACAGTTTGAATAGCAACATCAGAAGAACTACAAACACGACTAAGACACAGTTGTAGAAAAGAGCTGAGAAATGGGTTTGTCCATCAAATATGATAAAACCACATCAATGGTCATTAGCAAATCTGCAGAGAAGCTGTCATGCACGTTGAGAATCCACAACAACCATCAAGGAAAAAGAGAGTTCAGTCTCTGTCAATAGGAATCTGTCAGTGAAACTAAAGATATGACTGCTCAAATGTTACATATGGTCAATCCATAAGGATGTGAGGCATGGACACTGACATCCGATCTTGAAAAGAACCTAGAGGCAACAGAAATGTGGTTCCTGAGGAGAATGCTATGGATATCCTATGTGGACAGAGTGACTAACAAGGCCGTTCTGGTCAGTTAAAGCCTGAATGGAGAACTAGAACATCCAAACCATGCCTTGGCCTGCTCAATCAAATCCAATTGAAAACTTGTGGAAAACACAAAATGGAGAACCACAAACCCAAAAACAAAGCACATTTATTTGAATTTGTGCAACAGGAATGGGCTGCTGTGACAGCAGAACAATGTCAGAAGCTGGTGGAGAACGTGCTGAGACGCATGGCTGCAGTCATCAGAAACAATGGTTATGCAATCAAGTACTAACTTCTGTGTGTATCATATGACTAACACAGACAGAAAAGAAAACATGGAATACCTAAAAGCACTGTTTTTTAGCAGTACAATGCCACAGCTATTGATGTAAGAACTTAACTGATTTTGGTTATTATCAAAAAAAAAAAAAAAACAAGGAAAATGTCTAGACATCAGCTCTTAAATTAAACTCTTATGAGCTATTTTTGTTGTATTATTATATTTGTCCAAACAAATGTACCTTTAGTTGTACCAGGCATTAAAATGAACAAGAAGTTGAAAAAAAACAAAGGTTGTTTAATAATTTTTTCCATGTATGTGTATGTGTATGTGAAGGAGAAATAAGAACTAATACTTACAAAAACCGGTACAAAAAATAGCTTTTTGCTGTTTTTTGTTTGTTTGTTTGCTTGTTTGTTTTAAAAATTACAACATCATTATTTACAGTTTAAATGTAATTTTGAACTTTATCTCCAACATTTTTTTTAGTGGTTAAAATATTTACCACCTTATTGTACATCTTGGTTAAAAGCAGGTAAAATAGGTATGTTATTTTGGATTCCCAATGTGGATGTTTTTTGATATTTCAAGGACAATGCAACCTTCATAAGAATGAGCTGATTATAGTGACAGTCAATACTTAAGACTCAGAAAGAACACAGTGAGAATCAAGGGCCCTCTTTTACAAATGAGCGAAGTTTCCATTACAAAAGATAAAATAAAACAGGGAAGGGTCAGGTCACCCTGGTAGCTCTACCAGATAAGATGACGACCCATGTACAAGGGTCATAGTCCACGATACAGTGACTGCAGTTCAAGTCCAGTCAGCAGCTCATTTGCTGCATGTTCTTCTCCCCACACTTCTCTGTCTCTCTACACTGTCCTGTCCAATAAAGGCAAAAAGCACATTAAAATAATCTTTAAAAAAAAACAATTAAATTAAAAAGGAAAGGCTAAAAACCTCTATTGACTTCTTTATGAATGCCTTCCTACTCACAAACAGCAGCTGGTTACAGATTATTGCTGAGATGTACACAGTGTGTGAACATTGCAGAGGATTTCTGGTGACAGGAAGACTTCCTGTTGTGTTTGGCCTCCTTCAAAAGAGTGGAGACAAAGCTCCTCCACGTCCCACAGCTATCAACTCTGACAATGATTATTTCCTAAGGTGTGGATGGCTGAGATTCTCCTCGTACAGTCTCTCCTCACATCAAACATTTGTTTTAAGCACCGATTGTTTTTCTGGCACATGCGCAGTTTCCAGAGCAGATCGTTTTTAGTCAAAATTTTTTGGGTCGCACACAGGGTAAGCACAGACCCTCACAGACTTAGGTGGATGACAAAATTTATGTTACGTGTACCCTTACCAATGCATACACAAGCGCATGAATTGGCCTTAACAAATGTCTCGCATACATCTCAAATGGTTAAACTCCACTAAAACACAGTCTTGACTAGGTATGTCAATCTACACACATCATCCAAACCAAAGTCAACTGACAGAGCTATGAATTTTTACCACACACCACATAGTAATTTTAATTAATATCACACTGACTGTGAGTGAGAGATTGCATTTATGATTTTGATGTTGCTGTTCATGTTATAAACTGTTATTATAGCATATAAGAACTTCCATAATCAGCTTTTGGTGTCTAACATTGGTAATACTACTGTCCTTGTATGGTTTTAAAATGTGTGCCAAACTGAGGAAAGAGACTTTGACACCATTCTCTGAACAGTATAAAGAGGATTAAAATTCTGTGAGCACAAATACTGGACTAATAGCGAAAGATTTAGGGCAGTTGGCCAGTTAGGAAGTAAACTGCTGGTTGCAGGCAGGTCCCTGAGTTCATTGTCTATAACTGAAAAACACAGCCTTATAATATAAAATCATAAAAATCTATGAGAATAAAAATAAAACTTCATGGCATTGCAGTTATCCCAATCAACCCTACACTGATGTGGACAGGCAGAAGGATGCAGTCATAATGGCACATTAACCAGCCTTTGTTTCTTTTCTTTTAGGGCAGTACACAACATTTAAATAGCTGTTACTCTGAAACTTAAACCTCTCTACACACTTACTGGCTGACTGCAGTTGTAGTGTGATCAAATAACACACGCGAGTCAGACTGTTCTATTTGCATGAATGTTTTTATTCCCCCAAGAACACGTTACCAGCTACAGACCTTGGGTCCTACTGCTTGACGTTCCCTGTTGCATAACTGACGTCATCACTGGAGACCAGTGTAGTTCTTAAAGGCATACACATAGAACAAGGCCATAACACCACAGCAGTAACCTAGTCACCCCACTTCTCACTTCTGCAGCTATGTGTTAATAAGGTTATTTCATACATACTACAGTCACTCACTTCCCACAACACTAAATGGACATTGTGCACAGGTTACCCACAAGGCCACATTCCTTTAAGGGACAGGATTAGATGGTAGCAACACTTGTTTCAGCTTCTGTCATCAGTGAATCATGAGCGCAGCACGTCATGTGGATGAACAACTACTTGTTTCAAAGAATATGAAGCATCAGTTGAGGGGATCTTCAACAGATGTGATGCATCATATTTCAAGCCACAGCTTCAGAATTTATTTTACATTACTTACAATTAAAGACATCCAAGATACTGGCATGTCAGGTCAGAACACTTTTCACAATGACAATCACAGTTTTTGCCTGTTTATCTAATTATTTAAATGGCTTGACTCAACTTCCTTTACTTGGAGATACTGTGCCATAACGTGCACTACCAATCACTGTCATTTACAAATAGCCTATTGGTTTATTTAAAGTTTTTGCTTTATACACGATAGTTTGTCGAATTAGGGCTCAGCCTCTTTGTATTCAGTCTTTATACTCTGACTACAAAGATTTCTTAAATCTGATTCGCTGGCCAGTTCAGATTACATTATGATGTACAGCCACCTCATAATGTATCCAAGCCTTTACTTGTTGCACACTTTCTTTTTTTGTAAATGTAATTTTTAATGAATAAAATAAACAGTTTACCATCAATCTACGCTCAACAACCCAGAAAGACAAATTGAAA